GGCTCGTTCCGACGCCCACACAGTAAAAGTTGGATCCAAAATGACGACTTTAGTCGTCAATGGCAGTGAATGAGTTAAGCTGCAGCACCAAAAAGATCTGCCAGTGGCCTCGCGAGAACGGCTGCACGCGGTTGTCGAGAGATTTGTTCATACAGCGGGAACAAAACAGGAACAACAAACGAGAGAGATGGAAGTGAAGGAGGCATTCCTGCCAAAAAATGAAAGAAGTTGTGTAAATATCTAGAAAAACGGGACAACTATTTGACTTTCCTAAAGAAGAGCTGGATGGGGCAAAGCCACGCATTCTGTAAGGTTTGCAATTACGACTTTAGTGTCGTCCACAGGGGAAGGAATGATGTCAGTCATGAGAAATCGGCCAAGCACAAGCGTTGGTTGGATGCACAGAAACAAGCCTAGGTGATGTCGGCGTTTGTGACTAATCTGGCTTGCGGTGGCTCATCTGCTTATTTGATTGAGTTAAAGCTGTTGGGCGGACTCAAAGGTAGTTTTAAATGTCTGTCCAGTGGTTGGTTAGATATTTCACTAACACTTCAAACATACAGGAAAAACAACATTTCAACAACATTGTTGATGCAAAACGCAAATAAATCCACTCAAATGCTGGTTTAACTTTAAATGGGAGTTTGTTTATCAATTATCTATTCTGATCAGAAAAGGGTTCATCACACACTAAAATATGCAATTCTGGAGTAGATAATTAATAATTAAAGATGTGTTGATATACTAGTCTTTTTTACAACTCACCCACTCATCCTGCTAGGCTTTAGTAAAATGTGCTTTTACTTTAAACAAGCAAAATGAATAAAAATGACCAGTAAGTGACGTTAAAGTGGTTAAAAAATCACTCGGAATTATCAAAACATTTTATGGTTATTTTTCCCAACCACACCGTGGGTCCATCCGCTGAAATAAGACGAACGCATGTTTGCATAGAACTGTGTCTATTCAGCGTGACATAATGGTGGAAATAAAAAATCAAATTCCTTGTCTTTTTCTCTCTTACATGATAAAACGACAGGTAAAAGCTTAAAACGCTCTGTAAACAGTCTTCCGTTGTGTTGTGTTGTGGATGTGGCTGATTAGTGCCTCGGTGGGATGCAGCACATGCTCGATATCCAGAGATATCCATCAATGCAGCGTGGAGGGCGGCTGTGGCTTAAGGGAAGAGTCGCTGACTGTCGCTTCGATCCAAGCTTCACCCAAAACAGCAACTCTCCAGGACTCACAGACTCAAAGATCATTTGTTTCGACACTAACTTTCTGGTTAAACAAAGGTTTTAAAACTCCATGTGTGTATCCTTTTAAATAAAAAGTCCAGAGATGTTGAGTGTGATTCCCTCCGTATTTTACCGTCATTTACCAGACTTTTAGACCTAATTTAGCTCGATATTTTGAACGGTTGTGTACACAGCTTAGTGACGTGGAGATAAACTGGTCCGTATTGATTCAGACGATGTGATCAGACTGATGGAGCGTATCTCCTGTGTGCCACTTGCTTAAGCGTTGAACTCTTCTTCTGCTGCTGTTCATGATTGCCTAGCAGCAACACTCAGATTATGAGAACCAGCTAATAATCCAGAAGGGCAAAAGTCATTAATGAATGAGTGTTAAACACACAACTGCTGTTATAAGCCTGGTTTTAGGAAAGTTTTAACCCCAAAACCAGTCTTGAGTGCTTCTTTTGTTTCATTTTTGTTTGTTTTTTGCAAATGATAAGAAGAAGAAGAAGAAGAAGAAGAAGGAGAAGAAGGAGAAGGAGAAGGAGAAGAAGAAGAAGGAGAAGGAGAAGAAGTAGAAGAAGAAGAAGAAAAGAAGAAGAAGAAGAAGAGGAAGAAGAAGAAGAAATTTCTATAGCACCTCTCGAGATAAAAATCACGAGGCGCTTCACAAAAACAAAAAATGTAAAAATATAAAAAATAATTTAGAAAATGATTAAAAATATATTTAAATTGAGCGAAAAATAGACAATTGTGATTAGAAATGTTAAGAGAGAGAGTGAACAGGAAAGAGGGAAATCAGTGGATCCTGAGGAAGGTGGAATAGGTGGGGAGAGCAGAATAGAGAGAGAGTGGTGAAGAAGGTCATACAAAAGCCAGCTTGAACAAGTGAGTCTTCAGCTGCTTTTTAAAAGAGACCACTGAGTCCACTGATCTCAGGCTCAGGGGGAGAGAGTTCCAGAGTCTGGGGGCCACAGCAGCAAATGATCTGTCACCTTTGACCTTTAGCCTGGTGCTGCACAACCAGTAGGCTTTGATCACTGGACCTCAGGGACCTGCTGGGGGTGTAGGGACTGAGAAGATCACCAATGTAAGATGGTGCTTGTCCATGTAAGGCCCTATAGACCAGAACCAGGATCCTGAAATGATATTTATAGATTAGCTTTGATAGGTGTTGTGAGTCCCTTCTCCTTCTTTCATTTTCTTCAGACAAACTTGTATTTAATATGACTAATTAATCAATAAATAAATGAATAAATAAATTAATAAATTACTTAATTATGAATATGATTGTATCGCTCTGTTTGTTGTGATATATATCATAATTAAATTATATGACTTAATTTGTCGTATGTTCCTTTTTTCTGACATGACTGTGGTGATTCTTAAAGAAAATCTAAAATCTCTTTGAGAAACTAAAGGGGACATATCCTTTTTTCTTCGGTTATAATAGTTCTGTGGTTGACACCAAGCATGTTGATAAGGTCATTTGCACTAAATCCCTCTCACATGAAGAGATCTCAGCGGTTTTATTCTTGACAGTTTCAGTACCTTCCAGAATGAGCCGTTCCAGGGCTCCGTCACTTTAAGAATATAGGCTGGCTCTGGCCACGCCCACCCATCCCTCACCCAGGCTGCTATAAGCTGAGGGGCTCAGAGCGAAGGTGGTTCTATTCTACTTTCCCTGTTAATGACATCACAAACGGGGACTTTTTGAAGCGAGTTGTTTTAGACACATAATTCCTCAAATTTACCACGGACAGAAAATGGATGGATGGAATTTTTTCCACATTTGGAGGGGGTATAGAGGCGGTGGAGTCCCATGGCAGCAAAAGCATGCAAAAGGGCAAGCTTTGCATAATATGTCTCCTTAAAAGAGAGGCATCTTGCAACAGTAAAAAAAATAAGTGAAACAAAATGTTTGCTATTATTTAGAAGTGTCTAATTAAAGCCTGACCCTGGAAAAAGAGTTTTTATTACTCCTGGTGAAGATCTTTAACAAAGACGAGATGTAAATCCAGGGTTTTGATGGAAGAGGCTGGCAGACAGACGGACACACATGTTGTCTCCTTTCCTGAGGCGAGGATTAGCAGCAGAGGCTCGTAGTTTTGTTAAGTTGTTGTGTGGCTTGTAAAAGAAGCAGTTGGGAGATGAGCTCAGTGGCTCCGCGTTAGGACCCAGGAGCACGATGCAGTCTGGACTCGTCTGGGGGGAGATGGTGTGAGCCTGATGAGTGCAGACCCTCCGAAAACACACACACACACACACACACACACACACACACACACACACACACACACACACACACATTCCTGAGAGGTGAAGAGCTTTAGGTCAATAAACACCAGACAGTCACTCTCATCATTAGAGCCTCCTCGTTGGCTGCAACTGATCATTTGGAAGTGAGGGGTGGTTCTTCCTCTTCTTTTGTTGCTCCCAGTGTGTCACACACGCACACACACACACACACACACGCACGCACGCACACACGCACGCACACACGCACGCACACACACACACGCACACAGACACACACACAGTTTCTTCTTTTATCAAGGGAATTCTAGGCACATGTGTGTGTGTCTGAATCGGGGTCCAGATGCCCCCCCCTACACACACACACACACACACACACACACACTTGTCACCCCCTCATTCTCATGAGGGCTGAAGGAGGAGGGAGCTAATTCATCTTTATCTAATCCCTCCTTTTCCCTTTCTCTCTCCCTCTCTTTGCCGAGAGCCATTCAAGCATCCATCCCCCACCTCCTCTTCTCTCCACCCACCCACACACACACACACACACACACCCACACACACACTCACACACGGCTGCCTGAACATGCTCAGAGTTTGGATTCAAACAGGCATGTGTGTAAGTTGAGTCGTCTGAGGGCTGCATGTCTTGGCTGTCACCGGGATCTGAGGCGGTGATTATAGACTACAGACTAGGTGTGGCATGAGGGGGTGGAGCCAGAGGCTTTTGTCTGGTTCTGGTCCAGCCCACTGGCCGGGTGGGAGGGCTCAGCCGGTCTATCAGAGCCTGAGCACATTCTGGGACAGAAAGAGCTGCTGTGTGGGGCTGAGGCGTTCTCAAACAGGACTAAAGGCACAAGTCGAGGAAGCCGAGCGAAGCTGGCGGCGGCGGGCGCATGAGAGGAGCTGCTTGTTTCTGGATCCATTCGTTCTGATTTCAGACGGGCTTTCTATAGAGGAAAGAGATTGTGTGGAGTAAAAGAGCACGGTGGAAGAAGCTGCTGCTTGTGAGGATTTCCTAAAGAAAGCTTTTAGATATAAAGGATGAGAGATCAATGATAAAACCAGTTGGAATATGGGAATTTTAATCTCGGACTTGGACTATGGGGACAGGAATCTGTGTGTTTGTGCTCAACTCTGGCTGATTCTGACCAGTATGTCACATTTATTCTCTTTACTCCTCTCTGCATGTTAAGTTTACTGTTTCAACAAGTCTTCTGACTAATGTTCGTTTGACTTTAGTTTTTTTTCTTTTAACATTCATTGAAATCCTTCCATGTGACATTCAGACTCCACATGAACCTGCTCTGTTGACCTCATCACCTTTTCTCCCAAACAAAGCAAATGTGTCACTTCCTGATCTACGCTGTCCCTACTTTTACCTTGCTGACTACATTTCTATCCCTTTTTCTCAAACTTGAACTCTTTCTGATTGAAATTAGAGATAAAGATGAGAAACTTTGTAAAGTTTAACCTCCTTTTCTCCCTTTTTTCGTGTCTTTGCAGCTCTTGCAGGTAAAATCTCTCCAACCAGCTCAGATGCCCTCTTCAGTTCCTCAGCGATGATGGCCAGTCCTTCACCGCCCAGCGTGTTTCTCCCTGCCAACTTCAAAATGTCCAATGCACAACTGGCTTTCTTTTTGCGGGAGGCCCAGACCGTTGGCGGAGGCAGTCGGAGCGGCAGCGGCCCCAGCTCTGGGCATCCGCTGCAGCGCTCTGAGAGTTTTGTGGTTTTTCAGACAAAGGACCTCCCTGCCATCAACATAGGCTTTGGGCCCTTTGCCCAGGACCAGGCTTTGTCCAAGGAGTTGCTCCAGCCTGCTAGCCCTCTGGATATTCCCGGCCAGCTGACGGTTGGCTGGAAGGTGCGGGCGTTTATTGTCCAGGCGAGGGTCTTTTCCAACAACCCCACCGTGCAGGTGTTCTTCTACATCGCTGGACGTGACTGGGATGACTTTAAGGCCCAGGACAACCTGCCATGCATCCGTCTGCACGCTTTCCGTGACGTCCGTGAAATCAAGACATCCTGCCGGATGAGAGGCAACCTGGCGCAGTGCTTGGCCCAGCTGGAGCTGCCTCCCTCCTGGTTTAATACCAATGTGGCCCCACTGGGTCGGAGGAAGGGCTCCACCGACGGGCTCCTGGACGGGTTGACCAGCGAGACCCTGCAGGCCGAGCTCTACTACACGCTGCACGAGCCCAACGTGGATGGGGAGTGCAGTGAGGGTCACAGGGGTGGAGGCCCGTCCAGAGGAGAGCCTCCGTCACAGCACCCTCTGCTGCGCATCGGCAGCATCAGCCTTTACCAGGCCAGCCAGGAGCAGCTGCTGGTGGACAAGCAGTTAGACAAGAACATGTTCCTCCGGCTGCCAGAGAAGCCCCTGAAGCCTGGAGAAACTCTTCATATCCTCCTGTTCCTGATGCCCAACTCTACCGTTGAGCAGTTCAGCCTCAAGTAAGTCTGGTTTTCATCCTTAGACTTCCTCCAGTTGTAGACATGTCCCTGCTTGCAACAGACTCAAGTGAATTCTTATTTTTATTGAACCGTACACACACACACACACACACACACTCTGCTTACATAGATGCTGCACGTTGTTGGTGGTTTCCACAGCGAGTCAGCGTTTGTGAATCCTGAGTCAGACTGAGGTCGTCAGCAACAGGCGGGACACAAAAACTAGAAAAAAAAGAACATTTTCACAAGAAATCAGACTAAATCGGTGAATATGTTTTATTTTTGTGACTTATTTTAATAATCCTGGATCACCTGGGGTAAATGGCATCACTTAGAATAAATTATGACAGCTCTTATTTTAGCCGTTTGGTCATAAATTCATTTGCAAAGCAACTCGACACAAAGTTTTTGGCGGACTAATTGAGACGTTTTGAGACTACGAGCTCCTTTATCTAAAAGATTAAGGCCAAATGCAGAGTTTGGACATCTAAACCATATGTATACACGGAGAAAAAAAGAGTTTTACTAAATGTATCCAAGCTTTCCTTTTCCATCTAAACATCCTGGCTGGAGGCTCACACACCAGCTCCAGGTTAACGTGTGTTTATGACATCTTAAATCATGAGGAGATTAAAATCTCATTTTTATCTACTTTGATGTTGCACAAGGGTTTTGCTCTGTTGTGTAATTGTGTGTTTTCATCTTTAGTCTCTAAAAGTAAAAGTTGAATTGTTGTCGGCAGTGATGATCAGATGTTTTCCTGTAAGTCAAAAAGTAGAGAAGAAGAACGATTAGTTTGCCGCATTTGAGACTAAGGAGTGACTTTATGCAACAACCTGTATTTCATTTAAGAAGGCAGGCGTCTGAGCATCCTTCCATCATTTAGATTTAGTCCAGATTTCTTCCCTTCAGCCCTCATATTCGCCTCTGATCCACCGCAGCATAACGACCTAACGTTTTCTACAGCCTCAGCTTTAATTGCAGCGTTTTATGATCATGTATGAACGCTCGACGTTCTAAAACGTATGTAGCATTCTCCATTTCAGCCCCTAAGCAGGGCCGGATTATCATTGCAGGGGCCCCTGGGCACAATGTGCTTAGCCCCCCCACATTAGGGAAGATGGACTGTAGACTATTTTTTAGCCCGTAAACGATCATGGTACTATTTATATTACCTTATTCATGTGGACTCTGCTGGGATTATTTAGAGCTGAGAGGCGCAGAGCTCTGATCGTTGACGCGCTGCAGACAGATGCGTCCTGAGCACGGCTGCAGTAACATTCTGAAAGTGTCGCCACCTCAAAAACAAATTTAACACGCGATCGTTTATGTCGGCTCATATCCTTTTATGTTTTCTGTCTTTTATTTGTGTTTTACTGCTGCAGAGCGGATAAACTGTTTCGTCCTGAAGCAGGAACAGTAAAGATGCAAAAACTACCGTTGTTAAAAGAAATGTGTGTTAACTTAGAAAATGTGGGCGCAGTTTCAATTACTTCTCAACATTTTTCTCCAACGTTAAAACTGCTGCACAAAAAAAAAAAAAAAAAATGAAAGACTGCCGCTTGCGTAGGCCCCTTGTGGCTCTGGGCCCCTGGGCCTGTGCCCACTTTGCCCATATATAATCCGGCCTCGCCCTTAAGCAGGCGTGTTGCGTTGCAGTTTCGGTTCATCATGAGAAGATGAGCATGTAATCACGTTTTTCATCCTTCTCATTAATTTCCCCTTCGCTGAGCCGAGCGAGGTGCCTGCAGTAATTAAAGTCAGGTGAGATAAAGAGGAGAAGATGGTGTTAAAGAGCAGCAGCCCTCAGATCCTGTGTTTGAAATGTTAGATTTCTCTCCTCGTACGAAGAGTTCACGTCTGCTGAGAGGAGTCTGAGTGTGAAGGTCGAGTGGTGGCTGGAGTTCAAACACGGGAGGTGTTTTGTGCTCATAGTGTGGAAAAGAACCAAAGCAAGTCCAGTAAAATTACCGTAATTCCCGGACTATGGAGCGCACCTCAATATAAGCCGCACCGGGCTAAAAGCCGCAGATATCTACTGAACTGAAAACGTAGTTTAACTGAACGTAACTGAACTGTTCCGTATCAAACAAAACAGAAAAGTTATTGATTAGTTAATTCATCGTCCTCCTGCGCACTGAAACCACTGAAGTCATCATCTTCAGTGTCGGAGTTGAACAGCCTCAGAAGAGCTTCGTCACATACCTTTTCTGTGGCGATGTCAGTGTCGCTGTCATCATCCCCGGGTGAAGCTGGGAAAACAAGCAGCGCCGTTTTACTGTGAAAAAAATCCTCCTGGGCGCTTTCCGTAGCGCTCATTTAACCATTCCTTCATTAGACTTTCCAGCATCCATCCTTTCTGGTTGACTAAAGCTGCACCTCATTATAAGCCGCATGGTTCAAAGCGTGGGAAAAGTAGCGGCTTATAGTCCGGAAAATATGGTATATTTTATTATCATGAATCTGCCAGCTAAAACAAATAGAAATATTGAGTATTATTGACATTTAAATCATGTTTCAGCATAAACAAAATAAAAACTCACTGAAATGGGTCAAATTTGTACCCTTATGAAATCATTTTCTAGTTTCTCGGTCCAGAAATTGTTCTGGAAACCCCAAAAGTAGCTTTTTAATCACACTTTTATGGATGCTGCATGATGTATATTGAGATGTGTGATTTTGCAGGTTTTTAATTGTAATTCTGTACATTTGTTATTTTTTAAAGCAATACTAATTCAAATTTCTGGTTTCTCCACCTACTGTTAAAATAGTAACAGCTGTCGTAAAAAACCCCACCTGCTGTGGCTAGCACTAACAACGAGCTAACACTAACACGAGCCAACTGATGCTAAATAAACCATGAAGTAAAACGATCCTCACAGTTGGAAAAAAACGTTATTACTGACAAGTCCAGCAGCAACAAAGCCAGGTCACCATCGGTCTGTGGTTTCGTAGCCTCCTGTAGGGCACACTGATGTTTACTCTGGTTCTAGCCCTGTGCCCCATTTCTAAAGACAAAACAACAGGGCATGCTCGTTTTGATGGTCAACAGACTGAAAATGCTAACTGCTAGCCTTTAAATTAGCAACTAGCACAGTTCACAGCTACTGCCGTAAAGCAGGTAGCGAGCTCGCACTAACGTACCTCCCAAAACTACTAAAGTGTGGTTTCTGGTCAGCAGAGTGAGTCCAGTGGGAAGCTGCTCAAGAACCACTGAAACCAGTTTGAAAGCAGCAGCATTAACGTGTTAGAAACTCTTCAGCGTTGCTTTAACAATAATTCTCTTAAAGCCACTTTACTGTCTCAGCTGGAATGGAACCAGCATCTGCTGTCAGGCTTTTTGTTCCACTGTGCATTAAATAAATATGGTGTGTGTGTGTGTGTGTGTGTGTGTGTGTGTGTGTGTGTGTGTGTGTGTGTGTGTGTGTGTGTGTGTGTGCAAGGACATAATTGCTCATAATGCAAGCGTCCATAAAAGTCTCTAATAGTATCCATTAGTGGTTATGAATTTACTCCGTTTCTACACTTTCTTGGCAGATTTTCTCGTAACCTCTAAAGAAAAATCAGCCAGTTTTGGTTGAAAACTTTACGAGTTTTCTCAGACAATAGAGCTTATTTGCAGCTTTTCTGATTGAAACGGTCCTAAATAAGGTTCCTCAGTGGTAAAAGCTGGATGTTTTCCTGCTGTTTGCGCAGAACAGGAAATCAGCTGAACTGTTATCTCATTTAAGCACAAGGTGTAAATGATTGTTTGCATCCCACAAAGCAGAAGGAACACCAGTTTCCTTTACTGCTCGCAGATGCAAAAGAAGAAACACACTCATTATGAGCGAACCCGTAAATGATGATGAAACGCTCAGTAAAAACGTTTGTTGTAACAGCTTCATGTGGAGATTTGCAGAGTCGTATCGGAGACCGGTGAAATCCAGAGTCTCCGCCTGCAGATGTGATTTACCACGCGTCTGGAGCGGTAAAACCGTTTTACGGGTACTGACCCAAACGGATCAGGAACGTGTGAAAACACACCAGTGCTGCTGTGCTGTGTGTGCAGGTAATAAAAGGTCATCTCTTAAATGACACTCAGAAGTGAAAGAGTTTAACTGGCAGCACTAGTGATGACCCCCCCCCCCCCCCCCCAGCTCTTTTATGCATCTTCTCCCAACTCTACATCAGAACCTACTGTAGGTGCGGTACCATATCCACATAATGATGCCGAACACGCTGGTTTACATCTCAGAAGGGATTTGCAGACTGTTGTGTTTGTTCCAGAAGTTCATTTCTGTTTCACGCCCGATTGAGGAGCTCAGATCTTTATTTTGCTGTGGATTTATTAACAGTAAAGAGGCATTGTTAGATTTCAAACATCACCCTGGTGCTCGTTAGAGACTCAGCTAGAAATTCTGATGTGTTTGAAGGTTTTAGGGTACGTTTCTCACCTCCATCTATGTGGAGATGTTTTAGGAGCCTTGAAGTAAATGTTTATTTCATCAAAATCTTGAAACACGACCCCTTTATTTAAGTGAAAGTCTAAACAAATTGATGTCATCATCTCTCTACGTTTATTGGCATCTATGACCTCAGATATTCAGATTAATGGCTAGGGTTAGTATTAATGGAGAGTTCCAAAACATGATGAACTCTTTTAACTTCTCTCAACACGTGTCTGGACCCACTCACAGAGCAGGCCACACCCTGGATCTGGTCTTTTCCTACGGACTCTTTGTTGATTTACTACGGATAAATGATATTGTGTTCAGTGACCATAAGTCAGTTTCCTTTCATATTAACCTAAATTCTGCATCTCTTTTACCAGTCTCTGCCAAGCAACAACATATTATCAACAGTTTTACCATTTTAAATTTCTCCTCCCTCTTTGACTTTGTACCTCCTTCCTCTGATGACGTAGAGCTCCTTACTAACTCATTTAATGATCACTGCCTCAAAATTCTAGATCAGGTGGCCCCTTACAAAACCAGCCGCAGTTCCAGTGCCTCCAGTTC